GGACCGGATGACACTGATGAAGATATATCAGATCTCATTCGCCCGTATGCTGTATGCATATTTAAGGCATGAAGATTTGATTTGTTTTTGAAGACATTACGTATTTTTCTTTTGAAATAAATAATTTACTCATGATGACATAAAGTTCAGAATATGATTTCTTCGAAACTCGAAAGTAGTGCTACGAACTATACCGTCGTTAATCGAATGGACTGGTCTTAAAGCATGTATGCATCATTCTTAATGCTAGACTGAACATTCATTTTGTTAGCTGCGGAGATGATTCTTTTAGATATGCTGTGGAAGAATAGGCGTTCAGTACTAACGATGTTTAGTACGTCTTAAAATGGGAGGGGGAGGGGATGTGCGTAAAAGAAGAAAACAGCCCTCGCATCTATACCCACCCTCAAGATTATCAATCAGTGAATGTTTTAACATTCCTCAACGAAATAAAATGAATAAAAAAACGAAAGAACTCTTTAATCGGTTTTCGGTACCAAGAAGCAATATATGTACGCCATCATAGTGACTCTGTTAGAAGACATAAAAGATGGATCAAGACTCCACTCAATGACATTGCGAATTTTACTTTAAAACACAACACGTTACGGAGTTAAATAAAATTATTCAAAAAACAAGACATTTAGTTTATATTAATATAGAAATACATATAAAATAATAATATGGCTTTCTATTTAATAACTGCAAAAATTTTATTCAGACCCGAGTATTCATTCTCATTCTTTTTTTCTGTATACTTGCTTATCTGGTTTTGTTTTTCTTTCATATCGACTCTTCGTATTCTCATTTTTTTCCTGTTCTTGTTTATCTCTTTTAGACCAACTCTTACTACCCTACATCGTTTTTTCTTTCATATCAATTTATTCCTTGTTTAGTGGGCATTTTACTTACACTAGTTTTGAATCATTTCTATTTTTTTTCTTTTTATCAATTTTTTCTAATATTTTTAAAATACTCGATTGATTTGCGCGAGAGCCTTTCTAAAGATATCCATGTTATAACAAAGGGTAAGGTGTGGGTGGGCGTCTTCTTTTTCCACCCACATCGATCTAGCTACACATTAAAAGACTTCAGTACTTAATTTTTTTCTGTATTTTTAGGGTCTTAATTGATAATCATAATACTTTATTAAATTTACTTGAACAAGAAGTGAATAATGATGATAATAATCATGTTGTTGGACCATTAAGAAAATTAGTAAATAATTTAACATCAAAACAGGTTTCCATCTTACAAATCGTCCGTGATAACACTGGTGTTATTACTTTGACAAATTACGATTGTATATGGATTCAACAATTATCGCGTGCAACATTAATTACAAAAAATGATGAATATTTTCAACAAGCAAATACTCAACTTGATTTTGATTTTCTTTACTTACAATCCTATATAATTTAGATAAACTTTATCATGGTCATAATCTTCTTCGACAAATAGCAATTCAATTAAAACATCATCAAGAAAATATTTCACAAATGAATCTTTATGATTTTATTCGAACATTTGATCATGAACAAAATTTTCAACGACAAATTGAACAATATGAAATAAAAGATTTTCAATTAATGTATTTTGATCATATTTGTCAATTATATGCAAATTCTATTAGTAATTTTCAACATTTATTTACTGATGTTTCTCAATTATTACGAACTCCAATTGAAATACAACTTGATAATGAACTTAGTGAAATGTTACAAGGAGCAACAATTAGTGTTGATGATATCGATGGAATTAAAGTACTCATTCAAACAATTACTGATTTATTAAATGATCTTCGAACAAATGAACATTTTCTTCAAAGACAATGGACAGATTCGTTAAAAGAAACATGTTCTATCTTAGCAATTGAAAATTCGATTTTGAATTTAATACCCGATGGAATTAAATGTGAAAACTATGTTGCACTTTGTATTCATTTAATTCGAATGAGAACCATTTTACAAGAACGAATGGTTAATATCGAAGAAAAAGAAACTAAACAATGGGATGAAAATATCAACAACAAACCCATTGATCAGCATCCAAATCGTTTTTCGAATTATTTGAATGAAATATCAATAGAAAATGATGTTTCGAAGAATTCAGTTGAGACAGATGATAAAGATATTTGGTTAGATATTCCAGGTTATACATCGGCTAATCCAATTGTTGATGATATCTTCTTTGATGATCATGTTAAAGAAACTCCAATTCCTCAACCAACAACAACAACAACTTTTGATTATGAATCACTCTTTCAATTAGATGTGAAATCAGTTCCATTAACAACATCGATTTTATTTGAACAAATTCATAATCATAAAGAAGAATCAATAGCGATAGATTTGAAAAAAGCATTAAAATTTTCAATAAGTCATCCTGATGGAAAAGTTGCTTCAAGTTTTTGGAAAGGTGAAAATTTATTTCATAAATTACGTGAAGTGTTCAAGAAAGAAAAATATGATGAAAATATATTTGTTATTATTGATAAAAATGATATTCTTCTTGATTTTCTTAATGAAAATACTCCAGTACCAAAACGTATGTCTCAAGAATATTTCATTATTCAAAAAGAATCGTTATTTCAAATCGAATTTCGTTTTCAAGATAATAATTTCAAATATTTCGTTTCATTGAACGTTAAAATTCCTTCAATAATTCAACGATTTCTTACTGATTATAATATAAAACCTTCATCAGATGAAAATTATCTTTGTTTCTTTAACGAACATAAAAAAACCATTGAAAATGAAACTATCGCTGATCTTATCAAACAAACGAACAATCCAGAATCAAAAATTATTCCAATAATCATTACTGAAGATAATCTTAATACTTCTTTACTTTATCAAATCACTCTACGAACAAAACAAAGTAAAAATTTCATATCGAAATTTCATTTTTTTTCTCATTGAATAGTTGTTTAGATCAAGAACAAACTGGTTTCTTTCATCCCACTGCAAATTGGAAACATGTCAATGAATGGTTAAAACATTTCGATCAAATCATTGATTCTCCAACAAATGAATATTCTTTTTTTAATAAAGAACAACAGACAATTCTCGATGAAAATCAAACAATTTCTTCAATACTTATTGATGGAATCGATCGAAATATAACAATAAAAGTTACATTTACTTATGAAACAAATAAAGTAACAATCAATGCATTAAAATCAACAAAACTTTATCATTTATTAAACAATGAACATCTTCTTCGACAACTAAATTTAATTGATATATCTCCTAATGATTGTGTTCTTGTTCTTGAAGGATCAAATGAACAAATTCTTTCGCAAAATGATATTCAACAACCTGTAAATCATTATATATCAACAGATAATCAATCAATTCATTTTAGAATATCAATTATGATTCAGATATTTCGATATGATAGTTCAGAACCAATTTCAATTCATTTTTCAAACAGAAATATCATAATGGAAGATATATTTCAATCAATTACTAATGTTCCATCCAATGTTTATGAATACTTAGCTTCCAATTCAACAAAGAAAGTTATTGATTATTGTGACAAACTTTCGAATATAAATGAAACAAAATTTTTATTAGTTAAAGAAAATGAAACGTGTCTTGTATCAATTGAAAAACCTAAAAATAATCAATTACTTGATTTAGATGATGGACAAAATGATATTCATCAACGATATACTATTTATGCTCGAATTCTCGATATTTATCAGGAAAATCAACTTGATATTGATCATCAATATTTATTTTATTCGAATGATTTTGTTCCATCAATTCAAACACAATTAATATCTTTTCAATCACCATCATCATTATCATCAATTCGATTTACTTTAAGCAATGAAAATTTACCAGTGAATATTACCATTGCAAATAATGAAAATCAACAAACAATTCAATTTCATTCTTCTTTAACAATTAATATTAAAAGTTTACGTTCGTTTGCTTGTCAATTATTTTTATTAAATGAGAATTATTATCAATTAATGTATGATGGTTGTCCACTTGATGATGATGATATAACTTTGAATGATATTGATTCTGATATGACTCATATAGAATTACAAATGAACTCAACAGCAGAGATTCATTGTTCAATTCAATTTGGTGAACAAAAAATTATATTACCGTGTTCTTCAAATACATTAATAGAAATGATTATTAAAGAATCATTAACAAAATTATATTTATCTCAAGATGAGAATCAGATTTATGAATTATTTGCTTTGACTGATGATGATCAAACATCAATTGAAGAAGATATTCCGATTGATGATATTTATTCATTATTTCCATCTAAACCAACTCTCATACCGTTTGAACTAAAGAAGAAAGGCGAATAGAACATTTTCTTTATTGTATAAGTTACTTCTATGTTGTTCATGATTTTAAAAATATAACGTTTTAGAGGAAAAACTTTCTTGAGGGTGTGGATCTTCTCTTTTCCTCATTCATACTCCATACCCACCGTCAAGATAAATATAATAACTCATATGAAATCATTTTTATCTAATAAAGTTTTAAATTATTCGATAATATTGAGTATAACTGATTAAACCTTGAATCATTATCAATATTTTTGGATAAAATAATAATGATAATATTTATAAAAACGAATTTC